TATGAGGACTGATAACAGGAGCCAGGAGATTGCAGGTCAATAATGGCTGTCCTCTCTGCATGGAACAAACTCTCAAACAAAATCCATACAGAGTTGGATGGCACCAAAGTGACCTGGGGGGTGTTTTAGCATACTGAAACTGGCATTTGATTCCCCAGGGATGCCAGGGATGTACAGACATGCAGGAGAAGGCAGAGTTCACCATACCATACCACACCTACAGGCAGGGAAATCGTCCAAAGTTCCTGACTGCCAAGAGTTGCAATTTTTCTGTATACGTGTGGGCCTCCTGGGGAACTGAAGGGTGTGTGATGAGCAGTACCTTCATTTTCCTAGCGGGTGATGGGTAGCCAAAGGAGGAATAGGTCAACACTGCTCATCAGAAATTCTGCTTGAGCTTCATACTCACAGATTGAAGTCTTAGCTGTTAATTTCATTTAACAGCCTAGAGGCAGAAGTTGGCTGGGTTTACCTAAGGCAAAGGTAGGGAAAATGATATGAACCTCAGATCTGTCTGATGTCCATGATGATGAGTGGCTGTTCCTTTTCCTGTACCATATCATCCCTGATACATTATTTGGAGTGTATATGTGTGTGTATAGTTGTTTTTTTCCTTCACCAAAGGAGGTGTGTTTTCTTTTTCAGCATCCAAGTCTTTATTCTGAGATCTCCAATCTGTGACTCAAGGTACATGCAAAGTAGCATAAGACTGGAGAAAAGAGGACCTGGCTTATGAGAATAGAAACTAGACTCAATTCTCTGGAGTCAGAACATAAGTGGCAATGCAAATGTGTGTGATTTTTGCACTTGGGCCTCTGTGAGTAAGTGGGGAAAGATAAACTTGAGTGTGATGAATGTGTCTTAGTCCCTATCCTTGTTGCTAAGACACAGCACCCAACACACACAACTTAAAGGAGGAGAAGTTTAATTTGGTCCATGTTCCAGTCTGTAGTCTTCTGCCTCCAAGGCAGGATGGCATGGCACAGTAGAGAAAAAGCTCCTCATCTCATGGCACCTGGGAAGCAGAGACAGTAATGGGAGGAGCGGAAAGGGGAAATGTATTCTTCCAGATTTCACCCACCCACCCAGTGACCTATATCTTCTGCGAAGTCCTTCCTCTTAACAGCAAGCTAGCTATAATGCCACCAAATCCAGTCACCTTCCAAAACTCCCACCAATGAGCATTGAGACTCATATCTAGATACAAACCACAGAAGACAGCTCAGTGTATGAGTGTGCATGAGTGTGTTGTGTTTTAGCATGTATATGTGTGGGAAGACAGGCATGTTTCTGCAAACGCATGAGTCTGTAAGAGTGAGTGTGTACTGGTACAAAGTTCAGCAGATGTATACCACTCTGCAGAGATGTTGTTGAGTCCAGGATTACAATATTAAAAACACCTCTATAACAGGTATCAAATAGCCATGGTACCAACTCCCCACGCACCATGCCCTGCCACTGTCTTGGCTACTCTTCTGTGTAGACTAAAAGGAAACCAGGAGTCCAGCTTCCACTCTTGAAATTCAGTGTCAGTCTCTATAGCTTTATGTATCATTTAGAGTATCAGGTTCCTGAGTGGAATTTGTGTGAGTGTGTGAACATCCACAAATGCATAGAATGTTATAGTGTTGAATTTGACTGTGTGTGTAAACATGCCTGGATTTTCCCACTCACTGGACTTGTGGAAGGTAAATTCTTGAAGGATAAGGTTTTACATGTCTTGCAGCTATGTGTATGATAAGAACACTTTGCTTTGTTATAAAGAACAGAGACCAAAAGTCCAGAGGGTCTTGGTTTTCAATTTTAGTTCTACCACTTATAAGGCATTAACATTATGAACAAATAAGGAACTTCTATGAAACTTTTGGTCTTGAAAATAATGATACCTATCTCAAAAGAGTGGTGCCAGATTTCAGTGGGGTGGTGTGTGTACGTGTTTAGCACCTTCTATTTCAATTAAGGCTTTGAGTCTGTACCTGCTTCCTAAACTCATCAGATTCAGCCCTAGCCTCTCAAGGAACCTAACCTAAAAAGACATGGCTGACTTCACTAACTGATAAGGGAAATTTGCTGTGGGCCTAACTTGCCTGAAACCACCTCAAAGCAGGACTATCAGGAATAAGTGTTTAAAAAGGGAAGATATTGGAAGAGAAAACCAACCATTAAATGGGGCAGTTATATTCTAAAATAACTTGCACTATCCCTCATTCTTTTGTTCATTGCAGGTCTGGAGAAAGTCATATCCTCAAGTTGATGGGAATAAGAGGCAGGGTCTTATAAGCTTGCTACTCTTTGATAACCTTGGAGAATAGTAATGAAAACAATTTATCGACACTTTTCATGAACCATGTTACATTTACTACTTTATTTCTGCTTATTTCTGTTATTTATCATACCCATAAATCTTAAAAAGCAGCTGTTTACCTCACTGCATAGATGAGAAAAGTGAGACCTAGAAAAGTTATACACTTGGCTCCAGGTCACACAGATAAAAAGGTAGCTCTGGAATCTAAACCCAGTATGACAGAGAAAAAAATTTTTGAAAAGTACACAAAGTTAACTGCTTGTGTTCTTTCTTTAGAGGAATTTTACAGATCACTGATTGCTCATGGCACTTAAATATCCACATGTGAATATGTTCCAATTATTATAATTGTAGAGGAGAAAAGTAAATGAAGCTCAGAAAAATTCAACCTCATGTTGTCACTGAGAGTAAGAAAACAGGAGATAAAAACCCCTTAGAGAGAAACACAGGACTAGTGAGAAGACATATTTGGAGATTTCACTGAGTGCAGGCAAACGTTTATACCATTTTCCATGAATTCGATTAAGGTTTATGTATCTTATCAATGCTTTTTTTAAATGTCAGACTTGAGCTCCTGTTCCATTAACAGTCCTGAGTAAAGACAAGTTTATGAGGCAGATCACAAAACTGGTGCCATCTGCCTGGGCTTCTGAGATTTACAGCAATTGTTCAGTCACAGTTCTTTTCCCACATTGGGCCAGGGCCCCTCCTTTATACACCTCTACTCACAATTATGTTCTATGCTTAGTTCTTGGGGACACGTTTTGCTTCTCAAATTCCACATTCATCACTGCATAGACCTTTTCTGAAAGCTCTATAGTGGCAGCTACAACTACAGACATGCCCAAATTCTCCTTCCTCTGTTCACAAGATTTCATTATTCTCACACTGTGTGTTTCCTCTAAAATTGGAGGACATCCATGAGGAAGCATACCATTCAAGTCATTTCTTAATTAGATGCTATTAGAGGAATTATTCTTAATTATACTGGGTGTTTCCTCTTAGTCTTTTATGAGGATGAATAGTCAAGAGACCCAGAAACCTGAGCTGTGGGTTTTTTTTTTTTCTTTTTCCTTTGGTACTAAGAATTGAACTCAGACCTCACTCTTGCCAGGACCTCAATGCAGACACTGCATTGCAGAGATATATTCCTGGTTGAGCTAGTTTCTCTATATTTATGTTGTTCTTCATATTCTGTGTGAATGGGAGGTTAATTATAAGAGAGTGCTGATGTACAGTGAAAGGGTTCATGAATGGAGAAAGGGAAAAGTAATGATGGAGAAAAAAGGCCAATCTCCCAGGGAAGTCATGCTAAAAGTTTTGATCTTTAGCCAACCTTGCATTCTCCAGGCAGGGTGTGTAATATATGTGGAAAGTGGTCTGATTTTTAGTTTATATTATTTTCTCCTATAGCTTCTTTTGGATACTTCTGCTAGTTTTCAGTGATTCTTTTAGAGTATAAAGTAGTGAAAAAGAAGACTAGTGGAGGTTTGAATACTCTTATTTGTGGAATATTTTGTAAGAAAGAGATGCTATAGCATTCTACAATGAAGAGGAATATGGGTAGGTAATTGAAGCAATGGATATGAAGTTTGGAAGCAGATGTGACGTTGCACCCTAGTAATCCCAGAATTGTAGGAAGCTAGCATAAGATCCTAAATTTGAACCCACTCCCGGTACCTTACATTTAGCAAGACTTTATCACCATGAGTTCAATTCCCCAGTAACAGACAGGCAGATAGACAGACAGACAGACAGACACACACACACACACACACACACACACACACACACACACACCTTGGATTATCTATAGATCTGGATTATTTCTCAGCCATGAAGAATTCAGAGAAATGAGAGTAGGATGTTAATGGGAAAGAAATAGGAGATTTTATCAGTTGGACAAATATGGGAGCTGGGATTCTAATTTTTAAAAAATTAACTTGCACAATGATGTTCTCCTCTAATTCCCCACACTATAGAGGTTAAAGTACAAGATTGTCAAGTTCAAAACCAGCTAGAGCAAAAGTAAAAAGGGTTGAGATGTCTGTTAGTGCAAGGCCCTGAATTCAATTTGGCGTAAAAGAAAAACAAACAAATATGGTGAATAAGTGTATTTTTGGCATAGCGTGTTGGTGTATATTGTTTCCTAATTACATACCTGATTACCTTGAAGAAATGGTACTGTCTTTTTTTTTAATTTATGGGAGAATTTTTTAAGTCCTTTCTGTAACTCCCACTGACCATCAGTGCTTTGAGTATGCGTGCTGGGTTAGAATTTATCTGCTGCAGTCCTAGTTTCCTACTGTGTAGGACTGGTTTTACTTTCTTTACTTTTCTTTTTTCTTTTTCTTTTCTCTTCTATTTTGCTTGCAGGCGGCTTCCCATACTTGCTCCAGACAGAGAAGTCCACCTTTTCCTTGTATACATTCTTTGAGTGGGCACTGTTCTCCCTAGGACCATGTGGAGTTCCCATTCTCTGAGAAGGAGGTGTATCTATGCTGTAAAGGCAGTATGCCCAGTGCATACACATCTTATTCTGGTTGGACCCTTGTGATTGACTCAGCATCTCAGATGTGGACCTCCTGGGGCTTTTCTCCCTCAAGGCCTTAGGACTCCAGGTTGAGAGAGAGATAAAGTGTCTGTAGGAAGGCAACATTTTCAAACAACAGAATCATCAGACAGAGAAAAGTAGTGCCAGAGGAATTCTACTTTAATGTTTTGGACAGGGTGATGGGAAAGGGTGTTTGGGTGTGGCGTCCAAGTTTCCAGCAAGACAATGAAGAAGCATGTCACTGAAGATGAGCAGACACTTTAAAGCCAGATCCTTGTCTGAGATGGAAACTGCAGCTGCTAATTAACAAGAGGTAGAGAAGGAGGAAAGTATGGCCATGGTTCTGCCTCCCCACAGAGTATAATACAGCTGCAGCCAGAGACATGATGAGCTGCTCCTGCTTCTGATGGGTACAGGATGTTAATGAAGGTACTTCTTGCTGTGTCACTGGGGCGTGCCTCTGGTGACAGGTTGCAATCTTACTTCTGCTTGGACTTCTGACATTGCTGAGGGGGTGGGCACTTCTGCTGGCACTTGGGTGGAGGCTGGCAAGGTTGCTTGGTCTGCTGAGTTGGGGGACAGCACTGCTGGGGTGGGGGACAGCACTGCTGAGGTGGGGGACAGCACTGCTGAGGTGGGGGACAGCACTGCTGAGGTGGTGGACAGCATTGCTGAGGTGGGGGACAGCACTGCTTCTGCTTCTGCTGAGACATTCTGGGTTAGACCTACAACTAGAAACAAAATGACAAGAAGTGAGCAATGTTCAAGGCACACAGAATTTCTGGGTGAACCTCTAATCGCATCCTTATGCTACTGTGATACTTACCTTGACCTGATAGCTTCCCAAATTTAAGCTCTCTCTGTTTCTCTGTCTCTCTCTGTTCCTTTCTGTCTCTGTCTCTCTCTTTCCATGTGTGTAAAATCTACCTGTGTTTGTCAACTATTTTAACTCTTTGAGATAAAGAAACAAAGTGGAGAAACAAGGAAGGAGGGAGAGAAAGGGTGGGATAAAGGGAGGGAAAAAGAGAGGAGAGAGAAAACAGAGGCCAAGAGAGGAGAGGAGAGGAGAAAAGAGAAATGGAGACAAAAATGAAAGAAAAATAAAAAGAGAAAAAGAAGCACAGAGAGGAAAAGTAAGAATATGGAAAAAGTGAGAAGACAGAACAAATAGCTACAAACTTAATGAAAACTGCAAATTCTGCTGTGTATGTAGCTCAGTGACACGACATCTGTCTGGCAAGCATGAAGTTGTGAGTTTGATTTCCAGTACCAAAACCAAACCAAATCAAACCAAACTAAAACAAAACAAAACAACTTGTAGCTTCCAGAACAGAGTTGCATGCAATTTGACTCCTGTTTAAAGCATTTACAGCCATGAGAATTTGAATAAATTACTAAACTTTTCCCTACCCTGATTTTATAAGATTGCTATAAGGACTGAATAAGCATGTAGAAATTTATGCATACTACCACGTATACACACACACGCGCGCACACACACACACACACACACACACACACACACATATGTGTGTGTATATATATATGTGTGTGTGGGATGCATATATGCACACAACAGAAGAGCTTGAATACAATGACTCCATGATTTCAACTTAGCAAATAAATTTACAAAAATTTAAAAGAAGCATCCCAACTATTCCATAAGAGAATGTATAAGAGAGGGGTGGGTGTATAGTAAATGACAGGAATCATCTGTGATTATCATAGAGGAAAGCAAGCCTCAGAGAAGGTAGGTTTACTGCCCAAACAATCAGCATGGGAGTGGAACAGTGGTCTCCTGGTCCAGAGTGGGTCTTCCCACTGCATTGCATCTTCTAATCCTGCTGCTGTGCTCCCAGACCTCCTCACTCCTCACGCCAGAAACCTGCTGCCCTTCCTCCCTACAGCATGCTTCTTCCTTGAAAGGCAGGCCCACCAGTGGCTCTGCCCACATCTGGTGACCCCTCTACTGAATCCTTCAGTATATAAAGTATACATCAGACAGGCCATGCCAGCAAAGTTCCCAAGACACTGTCTTTCTACTAGAAGGTCCTCTGCCATCTCAGTACTATCTCCCATTCCTCTCAGTCAGATAAGTTACAGAACCCAAGATCAATTCAAAGGAAGAGACAGATGCCCAAAGAAAGAGACATATGCCCAAAGGAAGAGACCTTCTTTCCTGACCAGCTACCCTTGAGTTCCCATCTTAGGCCCAGTCACAGACTGGGACCCATAAGTGATAAGGTTGCATAGGGTGCTACCTCACCAAACTCACCACAGCTGTCCGTGAGAGTGCGGAGAAGTCAAAGAGTCTGAGGGATTCTAACTAGCCCACCTTTTATACAGCTCACACTCCTGCTCAAGGCTGCAAGGTGACCAAGGATTGGATGGAGCATCCTAATTGGTTCCTACTCACAATAGGATGTACCTGTCCTTCTTCAAATTTCAGGTTTTACTCACCACCACCCCGCTCCGGCGTGGCCACCTCCCTGTTGGCATGGCTCAGCTAGGTAATGAGAATGCCTTCACCTAGCCCTTCCCTCACCTCCTCATCATTTTATGAGACCTGGCCTCCTTGGATTTCCAAACCCATTCATTGCTTTTGACTTAGGACCTTGGCATCTGGGATGGTCCCAAACATGCATGCAGGACAGTGAGGGTATCAGTTGTGAGAGCACTGTTCCAGAAAGTGCAGGTTGGCAGAGGGAAGCAGCTGGCCTAGAGGGCTGTGTAATTAGTGTTGCTTTAAGAGGAACAGGTGAGGAGATGAATGGGTCTCCTGGAATCCCATTAAACTCAGCAGAGTCATGACTTGGACTTAATCTTGGGCTTAGAGCTACACTTGGCCTATATTGGTGGGAAGATAAGAGGAAGGCTAGGTTTTGTGTGTGGGTTTTTTTTTTTCTGTTGTGATTGAGTAATAAATGAGAGCTGCCCTGCTTGCTATGAGGAAAAACATTAGGCCCCATTAAGAGAAATGGCATGACAGCTATAACCAGTCTCTGTCTTTGTTTTTGTCTGTTTTTCTCTGTCTGGCTCTTGCTCTATCACTCAGACTCCAGAGTTCTCAGGAAAATGATTATCATAAGATGGAGAGGGTGGGGTACCTAGTAAGGAGTGTACTAATTGCAGGAAAGTGAGCTCATGTAGGATTCATGTTGACCAGGATCTAGATTCTGATCTCCAAAGGCCCTTGGTGTGGTGCTTCTTCCTTGCTTCATTTGTAGATCTCAGGACAAAGACGAATGCCACAGGGCACAGACTTGCATGCGCCCTTGTCTGACAAAAGATGAGTGATGTCAGTTTATGGCTCTGCCCATTACCAGTTGGGTGACTTTGAGTGTCTAATGTTTTTGAGCTTTTGCTTCCTCATTTAATGAGTGTAATAACACCATTCTGCATGATGGTAGTAAAGAAAGAAATATACAAGTTACATAAAATATATACATGTGTGTGACACACAAGAACTCAAAATTTTGAGGTCAGGCTCTGAACACTAGGGCATGCCATACTCTTAGAAGTTTGATTAGGTATGAGCAAAACTCAAGGATGTAGAAGCCAAATTTTACAAGAGGCAGTTTTTGCCCTTTCCACTAGACAGGGCTAGATACTATACAGGGCCAAGGCAGATGAGGATCCTAACATAGCTTTCTTGAAAATAGCAAGAGCCCTACTATCCCTTCTTATCATTGTCCCTGGCACAGGCACAGCACATGGTAGGTGGTACAAATGCAGAGTATGTTGATGAATGAATCAATGTCCAGCACAACTACCTCATACTTCTAGGTACTCGCAGCACTCTCACCCAGAGATGGACATGGACATAACTTAGTAATGTAGCAAGGAACTTGGATTAGCAGTTGTCCAGTTGGTTAGCAAAGGTAGAAGCACCAGATCCCATATTAAGTACTGTGGCGCTGGAAACCTGTAGGAAACATTGCTCAGTTCTCAAGGAGTTTATGATCTTCTTAGGGTGGTAAGTCCAGCCTGGTGTGACAGAAGACTAAAATTCAGAGCCCAATTTATTGAAACAAGACCTGAGGAATGGTTTAGAATGAGGATGTCACAGAGCTCAGAGGACAGATTGTCGCTGTAGATTGGAGCTCAGATTAACAGCAAAGCATCAGAGAATTCAGGAAAATCTCCTAGACTATGGTCTTATAGGTAAAACATTGATTTCACATTTGAACCCTAGTACCTAGCAAAAGCTCTGGCTCAGAAATAGAGCTAAATTAATTTCTATTAAAAAGCATGAGGGCATTCAAGAAAGAGAATTTAGACTGAGAAAACATTGGGAGGCATTTTGTGTGTCTGGGGTTGGGAGGAAGAGACAAATTTTACAGTAGTGGGTGATTAGTAGCAATAACAGGTGGATAATAAAGTTTGAGATCAAATGTCCCCAGAAAGCCTTGAACTATAGGAGAGAGAGTTGGGAGATCTAAAATTGTAGGGTAGGAGCTTGGACCTTGGCTCTAAACAGTACAGAAGAGACTGTAATGGTGATTCCCAATGACAACATGGAGAATGTGGAGGGCTGAGGCAGATGCAAGTTTAATCTGGGCAACTTAATGAATTAATGAGATCCTGTCTCAGAATAGCAATGATTGCAATGTAGCTCAGCATGAAGACCTTGAGTTCCATGCCCAGTACAATAAATAAATAGATGAACAAACAAACAAACAAACAAATAAATAAATAAATAAATAAATGAGTGGGGAATGTGGAGTTTAGGACTGCGAGCAGGGAAAAGGATGGCAGGCTCTCTCTTTATACCTTTTGTATGTTGGAGCAGGGTACCTAATAAAAAACAGGTGGGATTGACAAGGAAAGGAAGAAGCCCCTGTTGGAGGCCAGGTTAGTGCTGAGCATAGAGAAAAGGCACAAGAATCCAAAGCAATGGAGCTGTGGGCAGAGAGATCCATCCCATTCTTGTAGCAGGTTTTGGTCACGATCAGAGAGTATTCTACCTTAAGTGGTTCCAGAGCTGAAACAATCCCAGGAATCAGATGAAATATCCTTATCTCTTAGACCAAGGTTGTGTCAAGACTTTGGGACATTCTCAACAAAGGATAGTGAATGGAAAAAAATGTTCTTAACTTCTACAGTGTCTATTTTGGCATAAAGCTGGTGAATTTTGTTGCTTTGGAAAATCTTCCATTTTTGATTGTTTAATTTTTGGAGGATTTATTTTTCTACAATTATTTTTAAATTATCTGTATTTTTTTGAAATCATAATCACTTGTGAAGAGCAAAATAAAAAACTGCTCCTCTGTGTGTTTTAAAACATTGAGCTTAGTGAAACTCAGAAGCCTGGGAACTGCTGATGTGTATCATCGAGTCTTATCACTAACATAAGTGGGAAAGGTGACTAGCTCAGAGGGAAGTGACTTACCTATAAGTGCATCTTATAGCATGTTAGAAAGAGGCCTTGAACTTTGGTACCTGACTGAGCAAACAAAAACAAATTTAAACCAACTGACCAACCAAATAAATAAACAAATTAGGATATCACTTCGTCACCTGGAAATTCTTGTTCCCCCCTGTCCTTCACCTACTGCAAAGTCAAGTCCTGTGAAGAAAGGAGGAGCAGGCCTGTTGTGCCTCACAACGATGTCTCTTAGACTTTGTAGGATGCCGTGCAGAGTTCTGGCCTGCACCTGTCTCTTGGGAAACATAAATTAACTTCTTCATAACACCTGTAGTTGCCTAACTCTTAGCAAACCTGTAGTTGTGGGAAGTAGGCAGTTCACCTCCAAGGCCCACTTCCAGCTTTTTGGATTCCTGCCTTTCCCCTACCTAGGCCCAGTAGCTTCATCATCAAGTTAGGAGAGTCAAGTGACACTTTGATACCCAGAGACTAAGACTGAATTATATCCTCTGTAGCCCCAAAATGTGATACAAAGTTTCTGAAAGGCTGAGGCTCTGCAGGGATCTGCCTGACCTGCTTCTGCTCTTCCTCATCAATCCTAATCACTTCTGGGAGTTCTAACCACCACTTGTACACAAATGATTTGAAATTCTTTATCTCTATGCCAGGACTCCTTGTGCTTCATCCCCATGGTATATCCACCACTGTATGCCAATACCTCCATCTACAGCATGGAAATCAATGTTCTATTCATGTATGCGTACACTTGCACTATAAATACAGGCATATAATTAATTGGTGCTAACTAAGAATAAACCTATTGTACAAAAATTCTATCTGAGTGCCTCAAAGACATATTGGCCTCAGTATATCAAGAACTAAATTATCATTGTTTCTCCTTGCTCTCAATGCACATTTCAGTGAAAAGAATCACTACTTAATATTCTCCCCACAGGCCTGGTTGCCAGGTATCACCTGTAACTATATCCATCCACCAAGTTTTAAAGATTTATCCTCTGTAAGGGTGCTGTATGTCTGCTCTGACCTGGCCATTATCAGCATGGTTTTTTCTTTACAGAGAGATCCCGTACCTACCTTTTTGCCAAACTCTCTCAATGTAAACTCTCTTCTATAGAACAGCCACTATGATAATAATGAAAGGATGTAGTAGAGTATTTCTTGCTCTTAGGAAATATACAATAAATTGTTTAGGAGCAAAAAGCTGTCTTAACTGCAATTTGTACTCAAAATGTTCAGGTAAAAGAAAACAAAACATATCTCTACATATAATAAGTATGTTATATAGACATATATCTATAGATATAAAAATATACATTGTCCAAATTTCTCCCCAGTTTAGAATGATATGACTAATTTTTTCCATGCAAGAGCAATAGGCATTTAGTGCAAACTGTTCTTCCAGTATTCATCAACCATTCTGTTCTTCATTTTTTAGTACAGTATTTAACAAATTACATGATAGTTTTTAGACTTTTTATGTTATTGTGGACTAACCAGGACTCTCAGACTGAATTATATCCCCAGTTCCTTTTTCTTTTTCTTTTGAGATAGGGTGTCATTTATTCATTAAATTTCCCAGGCTGAACTCAAATTTGCCATCGTCCTGCCTCAGAAACCAAGAGTACTTGGGATCACAGGGGTGCTTCACCATTTCTGGTCTTTTAAAAAATACATCATTAAGAGTTTTGTCTTGGAAAAATTGCCCATGCATTCTAAGCAATAGTTTAAAGATAGACTAGAGAAGATATTGTATTTATATTATAGTATATTAGAGACATTTTTGACTCACAACATTTTGAATTTATGTTGGATTTATCAACATGTAAAATGATGGTAAGTTGAGGTGGACCTGAGAGAGAAGGCTAGGAGGAAGGAAAGGAGAGAGAGACAGGCAGACAGAGAGAGAGAGAGAGAGAGAGAGAGAGAGAGAGAGAGAGAGAGAGAAACAGAGAGAGAAACAGAGAGAGAAACAGAGAGATGTCTATCACCATGTACTAAATTAAAATCTAAATGGGTCAAAGATCTGAATATTAAAACAGAAACACTAAATCTATTGGAAGACAAAATAGGTAGAAACCTTGGAGACATAGGAGTAGGTAAAGAATTCATGAACAGGACTCAAACTGCACGGGAAATACTTCCCAGAATCAATAACTGGGACCACTTCTTATTAAAAAGTTTCTGCATGTCAAAAGAAATCTCCAGCATAGTGAAAAGAAAACCCACAAACTGGGAAAAGATTTTAGTGAACTCTCTCTCAGACAAGGGCCTCTTGTCTAAAACATATAAAGAATTAAAGAAACTCAGACCTCCGAAATTCAAAGATCCAATCCAAAAATGGGCATCTGAGATGAATATGCAATTCTCAGATGAAGAAATGCAAATGGCAAATAAATACATGAAAAAATGCTCATCATCATTGGTCGTTAGAGAAATGCAAATTAAAACCACACTGAGATACCATCTCACTCCTGAAAGAATGGCCAGGATCAAGAAAACCGACAACAAATGCTGGAGAGGCTGTGGGGAAAAAGGAACTCTCCTGCACTGCTGGTGGGAGTGTAGACTGGTACAGCCTTTGTGGAGATCTGTCTGGAGATTTCTCAAAAAGTTGGGACTGGAAATCCCATTTATTCCAGCTATTCCACTTCTAGGCATATTCCCAGAAGAACTGAAAGCATCATACCACAGTGATATATGTGCACCTATGTTTAGAGCAGCACAATTTGTAATCGCCAGATCTTGGAAACAACCCAAGTGCCCATCAACTGAGGAATGGATAAAAAAGCTATGGTATTTCTATACAATGGAGTATTATTCAGCTATAAAGAAGGATCACATTGAGATATTTATCAATAAATGGGTGCAGCTTGAGACCATACTCATTAGTGAAATAAATCAATCTCGCATGTGTGAATACCGAATAGTTTCCCTAATGTAAATAATGATTCAAATATATAAAAATATGTGGTAATCATGATTCCCCAGTAGGTGGCCTTGAAGCCTTATAAAGTTTTCACTCATTAATTAGAAAGGCTTTATTCTGGGCTTCTTGATATGAAAATATTTGAAGCTAGAGTATATGAAGTTTTATCCAAATATTTCAAGGAAAAAGACACTATGGTAACTACTATTAAGTCAGGTTATAAGGTGGTGAAGTACTAGGTTGTTGAAACAGTCATGCTGTGACCTCTATTGTTATATTGTTATGTCCTGTTTTATCTCAATCTCCCCCTTATTGTTTCAAAAAAAATATTATTTAGTCATTTCTTATGTTTGTCTTAATTAAAGAAAAAATTCAAAAAAAAAGATGTTTCATATTTAGAAATATTGGTACATCCATTTTAAAGTCATCTAGTATATCTCTGTACTATTCTTGAAGCTTTCTGTAAGGCAGATATTATGTCAAACTAAACTATTTTAAATGTAAAGAGCTCATGTCATTTTCCTACATTGGAAGGCCTTTCATTTCCTCTACCTACAGGGTGCTTAAGTTCTGATAAGATGTGGCTCTACATACTTCTTTAACTTTTTCCCACGATCGCTGGCTCATGTTCAATGTCCCATTAATAAAGACTTCCTTATAGATTCTAGCAGAACCTGCTTTCTCATTTGAAGACTTTAGAAACATAGTCCTTTTGCTGAGAATTCCTGTCATCCCACATGTCCCAAACTGACTTCTGGAGAAGTCAGAGAAATAATTCAAACATAGAATGGTTGGATCTATACTAGTTTTCCTTCTAGATGGTTATATTTCTTTCCCTTTGGATGGTGGTTGGCTTCTTGTGCATGGAATAAAGATACAAAGCTTTCTGAAGGATAACTTACGATTCCAACTGGAACAGAAAGAGAAACAGAAAATTGGAGTAGTGTTTTTGAGGACCCCAATGTGGCTGCTGGTCTTTAGCTTCATGTCTTATCATTCCAGGGACAAGACAATTGTCATCAAGAGTTGTCATTTAGCACAGCTCCACTTCTGCTCCTCATATTGCTATTGTTTTCTTGCTGTTGTCATTTTGCTTTTGTTGTTGTTTTTTGTTTGTTTACTTCTTGATTTTTCTGTTTTTTTTTTCTCTTTAAAATAGTAAAAAGAAGAAGTATGCTAGCCTGTAATGAGCCTTCTCCAAAGAGGAGACAATGATCCTCCAACCTGTAATGCATCAGGTTAGCTTAAACTGGAGACTAAAAGCAAAATTGCATTTCCCATGAATGGATATGGAGCATGGGTAATAGAAAGACATGGGGCAATTGTCCTCTTCATCAATTATCCCACACTTCAGGGCTCTTCAATTGTTATTTGTCTTAAAATGTATCTATTAGCAATCATAAAAAATGTCTATGAGATATCCCTTTCACCACAAAGAAGTCATTTTGCTGATTTTCAGTGAGTGGAAAATAAGAACACTTCCAAGTTTGGAAATAGTTATAGCCAGAAGTAACACTAGACTGACAGCATCTATAGTCTCCAGGATGTTGTATAGAACATCTGCTACACATTCTCTGACCTGGAAGAGATAATTTGATCTGGGAACTATTTACTCAGAGAATCATGAGTCCCTTTGCCACAGTTAGATCTCATGAAGATTGAGGAGAAGATATTATAATAAGTAGTAATAAATTATTTTCTTCCTACTAGTGGAGGGCCCTTTCTTGTTTTTCTATATAATTCATAGACAGGGAAAAGTAAATAAATAAAACCACACACAAACTAATCAAAAGAGGCAAAACTAACCTCCATATTAATATTACAACTATGGAATAAAAAGAAAAGACAATAGATACATTCACTGTCAGTCACACTCATTAGACTTTCAGTGTGATTCAGGAGGGACAGAGCTATTTATCTACCAACAGATCAATTTCTTTATCTCTACATAGAGAAGTAAACAATACAAGTTTGAGAAATTTTGCTCCAAACACTAATGAAGCCTCTCTTGGCATTCTTCTAGTGACCTTAAGGAAACTTTTAATTACTTTTTGGCTACTCTTTTTGTTAGAAAGTGATATCTCCCTTAGACCAGGCCACAAAACTGTCCAATTGTGTTTAAGTTTCAAAAAAATTACAAGTGAAATTTAATGGGTTTCAAATTTAGTGGGAAATTTACTATATTTTACCTAAAGATATGTAAATATTTGTGAATACATGGTTACTTTTCTATGTGAATCGCATCCCACATTTTTAAATTGTAGGATTACTTCTTCATTCTTAGGAAATCTTAAAAAAATACATTAAATACGCAATTCAAAATATAGTTTCACTTTGCCTAGAACAGAACCAAACTTGACCTCCTAGAAGCAAGCAACAAAGCAGTTTGCCAAACTTGAGAGAGAGCAGCCCATTAGGTTCCTGGGACCAGGAACCTTAGGTGCTATTATTCCTTGGTGTTTGGTAACTTCTTTCTATTCTCAGTAGGGACGCTGGCTCTGACTAGAAGCAGACAATTACAACTTCCTCCCTGCCTGCTCCTCCTTTTCCATGCACACCCTTCATCTGGGAAAATGCTGATATGTGGGTGTTTGGAACCCAGACAAACAGGTATCTTGTTTGCTTCCAGGTAGAGAGATCAGACTTTGAGACTGTATGTCTGGAATTCTGAATCATAGCAAGCTTCCAAGAAGGTGAGATATCTATCTTGTGCTAAGACCAATCTTTCATTCTCTGTCTCTTTCTCTGTCTCTCTCTACTATGCAAGGGACTGTTTTGTATCCAATGTCCCTTGCTAGGCACTGAGGTAAGATCCACAAATAAAATGTAGTCCAGACATTTGTTAAGCATCTACCACATGTCTAAGGATCACCAAGGAAAATAGAAGCATTACAGAAGGATCTCTCTTTAAACTCCTGTGTTTACCGGTCCAACATGAATTTGAACAAAGAAGAAACTAAACTTTTAGGTAAATGTGGGGAAGGATTCATACAGAAGCAGTGGACTTATTCAGGTGTACCTCAAAAATATTGTGTTCCAGGAACTGAGCCATGGACTGGGAATTCAGAGAGAAGACCTAGGCTTTTCCATGTAAGTCAGAAATGTGGAAGCCTAGGTTTCCAATGACAATCAAATCATGGTACACTTTATGAGGGAAATATAGGACACTGTTAGTTCAAAAAGGAATGCAGTGGTATGAGGCACTTCATTAATGGTCTGGGACTTCATTAAGATCGGTAAATAGCTCTCTCTGCAAAGGAAATGACCTAGTTCAGGTAGCTGTTCAGCCCAAGAAAGAAGAAAGTGGAAGAAGACTTCAAAGCTAGATGGTGGTATTATTGGAATTTCCCAAACACACAGACCTGAGTGGCAAAAAGAAAATTGATATAGTGCCTATAAGGAGGTCAACCCTAAAACAGGGAATAAGTCACTATTCTTGGAAATGAAGTTAGGGCAACTCCAAAAGTAGGAGTTGTAGTCCTAGTGAGAGATCAGCCATCTCCATTTTAAACAGATCCTGATATTTTTAATTTCCAATAGATAATAAAACTTAACCCTTGAATTATAAAATTCAGGTGGCTCTTCTTCACAAATCCTTTTATACTGATAAGAAATGTGCCCACCTGAAGAGAGGCATTAGTAATTAAAATCTTGGCAGAGAGAGTCAAAAATATCCTCTTTAAGGCTGGTCAGGACAAAACTCATAAAATACCAATACATGTTCCTGAGGAGAAGTCATACAGGGTAATAGATGACCAGTGGCTGATGGATGTTTTCTGGAAAGTGAAACAGCAATCTTAAGAAACAAAGCAATGAAATGTCAATTTTCTTGGCTTTACTGCTAGAAAACTCAAAAGAGTATGGTACTAAACACAGTAAATATTTGTTGAATGTATAGTCTAAAAGTAAGTTATGGGAGATTCAACTTGGGCAGGTTTGGTTGTAGCTAACAGCTTCTTTGCATTCGCTTGAGAAAAAAAAAAAGACACACACCTACATATACAGTCACACAAAACCCTCTCTGGTCTTCTCTTATACACACACATTTACAGACATAGGTGTATAAAGATTTTTCTGCTTTTGTACATACTGTATATTTGTTTCTCTTTAAGTAGGGGTGTAAATAGAATGGTGTCTTCGTGACTCAGGTGCCAGATTTACTTCTCTGGGCTCTTCCTTTTGTTGGGTGACATCTCCAGAAGTTGTTCTCATAGCTTGTGTGTGTATGTAGGTGTGTGATCCTAGATGCCAAGAACACAGCGTGACTATTTACATGGCATGTCCATTTCAGAATGGTGGGGAAAGAATCATATAGAAGCAGGGGAATCATTTAGGTGTACCTCAAAAATACTCACTCAGCATTTAATTGACACCTCGTATGTTCCAAACACTGAGCTATTGGATTCAGAGAAAAATGTAAAACCTAGGATTTTCCTTATGAGTCAGAATCCAGAGCCAGGAACAGACTAAACACATGATTTTCATAATATGTAGTATGCTTTCTGAGGAGTTACTTGAGATTCTTTTACCAGGTATAGGGAGACATAAATCAGACTGGTGGCATTGCTAAAGCTTACCAGAGGAGGTGTTGCCTGCTTAGTACAGTATCTAGTGTTACCACCACAGGTGAGAAGACAATTCCTTCCTGATGGAACTCTTCTGCTGGAAGCCTTTATTCATCCATATGACTCAGGAAAGTCGTTCTGTGGCTGGGGATATAGTTCAGCAGCACTGTGTCTGGCTGGAAAATACAAGTCCTGAGTTTGATTCTTAGTGTCCACAGACACATACAAAAAAGTATTTTCTTCCAATCTTTTATCCTTTACCCTTGCCTAACTCTCTGGCAAAACACTCCATCTCTCTATGATTCTAATAATTGTTCAAAATAGGCTGACAATTAGCCTTCTTTAGAGTTCCCAGAAATTGATACAAGAAACAGACCAATTTCCAGGTTCATGAGCTGCAGAATGGGGAGGGAGGAGTTAGTCTTCTTGTTATATGTATAAGGTTACTGTGAAGCCAATTGGGTAAAGGATGATAGAAATATATACACATTATCTATGAAAACCTTGTTTTACAGAGATTCAGAGTTTGTATCTGTAATCAACAACACGATATATTGCTCTATTTATTATTGTGAGAACACTTAAGAGATTCTAATATCTAGTCTATTAATAAAGGGGTTTTTTTTTGTATTTTTGTATTTTTACCGGTATCAGGGATCAAACTCACGACCACACGCTTGCAAGGCAGGCTCTTATGCCCCTGAGCTAAATCCCCAGCCCCAAGTCTATTAATAAAGTTTTAAAAACATGGTGTACCATTGTTAATCCTGGGCACAGTGCTACATAACATCTCTAGAATTTATTCATATTACATACCTAAACTTTATATCTGTGAATCCATTCCCCACCTGACACCTAGCAACTGCCATTCTATTCCTTGTTACTATTGTTTTTATGAGTTTGAAGACTGTAGATTTCTCACATACATGGAATCATAGAGTATGTGTCTTTCTGTGTGTGGTGTGTATCATTTAGCATAATGTCTTCAAAGTTCATCCAGTGCTATAGCATTGGCAGGATTCTGTTCTTTTAATGGTTGTATTTCAGTAGGAAGCCCTCAAAAAGGGGCTAATTCCTTGTATGGATACAACATTTCTTTTCTTACTTATTAATAAATGTTTTGAGTTGTTTGAATATCTTGCCTTGTGTGAGTAGTACCACAACAAACACAGAAAATATCACTTTGAGATCCTCATTTTAATTATTTGGCTATAAACCCAAAAGTTGGATTTCTGGATAATTTTATAAGTCTATTTTTAATTTTTGAAGAACCTCTACATTGTTTTTCCATTTGAGTTGCATATATTCATATTCCTACAGAGGTATACAAGTGTTCCAATTCTACCATACCTTTGCCAGTGCTTTTTACTTTTATGGTAGATGTGAGGTAATAATTCATTGTTAGATTTCTCTATTGATAAGTAAAATTGAGCACTTTTCCATATACTTGAGTATTCATATTCCTTCTTTGGAAAAATGCCTATTCAACTTTTTTGCATATTTTTAAATAACATTATTATTATTATTACAATTATTTTTATTGCATTTTAGAAATCTCTAACATATTTTGGATATGGGACAAAATTTTAGCAGATACACAATTTGCATATGTTTTTTCTCATTCTGTAGGTAAATTTTTGTCTGTTGATTTCACTTTCTGTGCAGAAGTTTTTGAATTGCTATTGAATAAGTTAAATAAGACACCAATTAATGGAAAAAATCATGTTCACATGTCATAAGACATAATATTATTCCCAAAGAAATCTACAGTATTAATATAATCCCTGTAAAAATCTCAATGACAGTTTTATAGCAGTAGAAACACACCCTAATTTTATTAAATTCTGAAAGACCTGACATACCTAAAGCAGTTCTGAAAAAGAACAGCTGGAGGCATCGTACTTTTTCTTTTTAAAATATAGTAAAAGATATACTACTTAAAATGTACTATTGGAATACAAACAGACATATGGGTCATTAGGACAAATATAAAGCTGACGGAAAAAAAATCACACTATAGGATCAGTTGATCTTTGACAAGACAGTCAAGAATACACATTGAGGAAGAGATTATCCCTTTTGTAATTGGTGTTGGAAGGGATATCCACTGGCAAAAGAATTAAACTAGACTCTGGTCCTACCCTGTGTCAACTCCAAAAAAGATAAAAGTATTTAAATGTAATATCAGAGAGTGTAAAAACCTAGAAGAAAATGTAGGGGAAGAACTATGTTATTGATTTTCACAATGATTTTTGGATATGACATCAAAATCACAAAGAAAATAAGTAAAAATAGACAAGTGGAACTACATACCATGTTGAGCATTTTGTAGCACATACAATATCAGCTATTCATGGATGGTTTATGCAGTCTCTTTCCACACAGAACTTATATTCCAGAGAGGAAAGGAAGACAATAAACCCACATGCAATTAAGAAACCAATAAGCAAATAAAGTAATTTCAGATAAATAATGAGAGCTGTTTAACTGGAATGTGAGAAAGACCTTTCAGAAGCAGAGACATGGAAGCTGGGTCTGAGTGAGAGGAGGATGTCATACACAGGATATTGGTAGGTACAGACAGTGGAAGAGCAAGGGCTAACTGCTGGCCCTGATGGCTCTTGAGGACTGTGTGACTCGAACATGGTAATGAGGAACAGGTGGGTTCACACAGGGATCATCTGCAACTGGGGAGGTCTGAACTGGCTCTGACTCAATCTGGACTTTGTTTGAAAAAGGGCATTTTAGTAGCTGTTAGAAGTTGTGCTGAACCAATATAAGAGCTGAGACTCTTGTCTTCTCCATCTAAGATCCTCATCAGAACCAAGGAGTGGAGTTCAACCCATATTTTTATTCTAAATTTTTCCTGAATTTAGTCAAGAAAAAAAATTTTTAACAAAGTAAGAATTTACTTCACTAGTAAAGTGATCTAGTAGTTATCACTGATGTCAAATGTAGTTTGTTTTATATCGTAACTTTTCTAGAAAAGTGTCTCAATGTTTTTTTATTAGTGCATGTTTGTAATACGTAGTATTCACTTGGAAAAAAATATATGTATATGTTTATATATATATATATATATATATATATATATATATAATTTCTTGATAATTTTGTTTCTTTACCTT